AAAAAAAAAAAAAAAAAAAAAAGAAGAAGAAGAAAAAAGAAAAAATATCCTGAGAATAATGCCTGACACATAGGAGGTAGTATTTTTTTGTTTTTGTTTTTGGGAAATTTTTTAAAAATCCAGCAGAATTGAGTGTTCACTGTGTGCTAAGCATTTTGTGTGCATTACTATGTCACTTGCTACTACCAGCGTCCCCATGAGGTGGGTACTATTTTACAAAAGGAAAACCAGGTTCAGAGAAGTGACGTCACTTGCTCAGGGTTATAGAGATTGTAGAGAGCAGAGACAGGATTCACATCCAGGCAGCTCAGCTTCAGCCCCTACTCCAAGCTACTGAAGAGGCTTGCTGACGGTCTGCATCATTTTCCAGCCAAATAAACAGAGACCCCACCCCAGGGACGGGGTAAAAGTGGGCAAGACATTGTCTCTCTTTCAAGTTGCCCAAACCAGCTAAGGCCTGTGAGGCCTCAGGGCCTTTGCACATGTTATTCTCACTACCTGGATGCTCTTCTCCCAGATGTCTCTTTCATTTTTTTTTTTTTTTTTTTTGAAACGGGGTCTCACTCTATCACCCAGGCTGGAGTGCAGCTGCATGATCTTGGCTCACTGCAATGTCCGCCTCCTGGGTTCAAGTGATTCAGTCCCCCTAGTAGCTGGGATTACAGGCACTGACCACCACGACCAGCTAATTTTTGTATTTTTAGTAGAGACAGGGTTTCACCATGTTAGCCAGGCTGGTCTCAAACTCCCGACTCCTAAAGTGATCCATCTGCCTCAGCCTCCCAAAGTGCTGGGATTATAGGCATGAGCCATCATGCCTGGCCCTGGCTGATTTTTGTATTTTTAGTAGACAGGGTTTTACCATGTTGGCCAGGTTGATCTTGAACTCCTGACCTCAAATGATCCATCCACCTCAGCTTCCTAGAGTCCTGGGATTACAGGCGTGAACCACCACGCCTGGCCTCTTCTCCCAGATAGTTCTTGTCTCCCAGGGTTTTCTACAAACACTCACCACTCGGGAGGCTGGGCTCAGTGCCAGGCAGTCGAAAGGCATAGTGAATGTAGGCAGCCAGCTGTGGGCAGTGGCCGTGGGCATCCTGGGCTGCCTCTAGGCTCCGGTGGACAAGGCTGACTACATGGGCCATTGCTTCAAAGGCTCCACGGCCCAGGTTCACTGTGGGGCAAGCAGAGGTCAGGTTCCAGGGCCCAAGGCCTCTCCTCTCCCCGCCCACTTTCCAAATATAGAGACATCAGGATTCGTGGGATCATGACCCATTAAAGGGTCACAGAAGACCTTCTCTGGGTGCAGGGGGCTGGGGGTCGCTTCTCAGGTAAGGAAAATGGCCAGAGAGGTAAATGGGCTTATTGAAGAGCTTCTCAGGACGGAGAAGCCATGTGCTGGAAGGAGAGACAGATCTGGGGCCAAAGTTGCTCACCAATCTGGCCACTGATGATCGGGGGCCTGACGACCAGACGCACGAGCTTGTCCAGCACGTGGTGGGAGAAGGCCACAAGGGGTTCAGGGCTGGCCAGGCGCAGGGCCGCAAGACTGGCCCGCAGCTCCTGTTCCACGTTACCCTCGCTCAGCACAGCATCCTTGAGCCGGAATGGGAAGGCCCCCTCCTCCAGGACGTGCACCAGAGTGAAGAACTTGTCCAGGTGGGGGTCCTGGGTAGGGATGTGGGGTGAGCAGGGTGGGGCCCCAGGGGACGAAGATCACCCCCCATCTGAATCAGCAGATTCCCTGTAAGCTGGAACCAGCTGACCAAAGTCACGTCCACGGTGCGAGGCCAGACCTCGCCACTGGCAACTGTTACTCAATCCTAGGACAAGCAAGAGGGGAGCAGGGCAGGACTCCTGGGTTCCCGCCCCACCCTGTACCTGGGGGTGCACAGAGGACACGGCCGTGAGCTCCACACTGAACACGCCCTTGTGACCGTCCACCCAGCGCATGCCCGGCAGCGCCACCTGTGGGAGGGAGGCCCAGGGTGGGCACTGGTCACCCTCTCTGACTGATCAGGTTACCCAGCAGCCCCAGCCATTGCGACACTGCGGCCGGAGTGTAGCCCAGGCTGGGGGGGTGCAGCCAAGCACCCTGGACCCAGCCCTGGTCCCAGGAGACTGAGGGGGTCCACTGGGCAGGCTGGAAACCCGCATGCCAAGGAGGGGGACAGAGAACGGAGACAGAGGGTGAATGAATAATCATTGCATAGGTCAGGGAATGGCATAGGAGGATTCACGGCCTTGGGGCGTTAACGATGGTGCACTCGTGGGGAATGACAAGGTATTAAGGGGGCTGGGGACCGTGATCAGGTGGCCAAAGTGGGAATGGAGTAGAGAGGTGACGGGAATCTCTGTGGACAGCTAGGACACAGCGAGGCATTAACAGGGGTGATGATCTATGCAGTAGAGGACAACCAGCCTTTCAGGATGGACAGGAAGGAAGGCAGGTGACTTGGGAGGACTTCTCGGGACTGTGCATTGGCAGTAGGAGCTCCGGGGCACATACGTCGGGTGTGAGCACGGAATAGCTGGGTGGCGGCTGGTCCACGGACACCGGGAGACAGAAGGGGCCAGTCCTCAGGCGGCCGTGCTGCAGCAGTGGGATCCACTGGGGAGAGGCTGGGGGTCAGGTCTGTGGCCAGGCTTGGGGACAAGGAGGGCTCTGGGGGAGGGAGGGAGGGGACAGCTCACAGTAAAGCCCACGGGCGTCTCCAGGGCAGTGCCCGGCCGGGGCTGGCAGCTGACGTGGTAGAAGGTGAACAGCAGGTGATGGTTCCCCGTCACGCAGGCTGGAAGGCGCAGCTTGAACTCCTCATAGAACTCGGGGGACCTGGTGGAATCGGGCTGGGGTATCTGCTGGGGGCTGGGGTCCCCGCCGTCTGCCCTGCTGCCTCTGCTGCACCACCCCCTCATTGCTGTGGGCTCCACTGTTCCTGCTCTCTGCCTCAGTTTCCCTCATCAGCACTCTGGGAGCCTCCTCCTCCCTTCATCCTGTATTCCCATCAGTGCTGCCCCATGTGTGTATATAAGGGACATCTTCCTACCCCCACGGGTGCCCCCAAGGTCCTCATGTGTCCCCTACATACTTGTTATGGTAGACCACCGGTGTGAAGGCCTCACGGGTAAATTCACTGCAGCTGGACTTGCCAAAGATGACCTGGGGGAGTGGATGCATGAGGGACCCACAGGGGATGCCCTGCCCTGCTTCCCTGGGGCGCAGCCACTGACCGGCAGGGCCTGGCTGGGGTCCTCGCCTGTCATGTACTGCACTCGCACAGCGAGGTTGCGCACGGAGCCCTGGCGGCTGCTGAAGTTGAGGCTGTGCGGGTATACATACAGCAGGTTCCTGGGGGGACAGGATGGGGGCGTCAGAGGGACAGGGTCCCTGAAGGTGCACACATACAAGGCTGGGCTGATGGAACAAGGCTGGCTGGGAGTACAGACCGTCCGGGGAGAGTGGGTCATAAGGCTGGGGCATTGAGGGCCAGGCAGGAGGTAATACAGGCATCAGGCAGGAGATAGGACAGAGGGCAGAGGGTGGGGGACAAGTGAGCACCCTCAAAGCACAGACTGGGGACAGCGTGGTAGAGGGAGGGAATAGAGGCACATTGGAGGCACTCATGGGGCACAGTGATACACAGAAGGCAAGAGAACAGCGAGGCACTCAGGGCCAGAGTTCCAAGGTGGCTCATGTGTCCAGTGGTCAAGCCTAAGCCGCACCCAGGGGCCTGACTGCCCTTTCCTCAGGAGGTCACTAGAGTCATGAGGCCTATTTCTCAGGTGGGGAAACTGAGGCCAGAGTCAGAGTCCTGCCTCCTTCCCTCAGGGGCAACTCTGCAAGCCTTGGCCCCTCTCTGGGCCTCAGTTTCCCTGTGTGTATAATGGGCACTCCATTATACACAGCTGAGCCCTGTGTAATGATACTGATGATGATAAAATAACGGCAATAATTGCACCAAACACTATTACTACAATACAGTCATTGCACCTACTGTGTGCCAGCCTCTGTTCTAAGCACTCAACATGAAATAACCCATTTACTTCTTACAAGTAGCTCATGAGGCAGGACTAACATCACCACCATTTTACAAGCAGGGAAACTGAGGTACTTGCACAATCCCCCAGGGAGTAAAATGGCGGTCAGTGGTGATCCAGGCATATGCAGGGTTTGGATCAGGCTGTGTGACCTTGGGAAAGTCTCTGACACCTGCACCTGCTCCCTTGGCCACGAACCAGGCCAATAAAAGCCACCCCCCACTCACAGTGTGGCAAATGTGTGGGAGGGGAACAAGAGCAGATATTGTAATGGCAGTTGGAACAGCTCTGGGCAAACCATCAGTACTTATAAATTCTTTACCATTATGACCATCATCATTGCGAAGCCTATTCGTAGATGGAGAAACAGGCTCAGCATGGTGAGTCTCAGGAACTCCCAGCAGGGTCTGGAGCCCGTTCTCTCCCAGTGCCCCTCACCCACACCTGGCCCTGAGCCCCAGGAAGCGTGATCCCGGCATGGCCCAGCCGGACATTCGCCTGATGCAACTGTCGCACCACCGCCAGGCCCTTGTGCAATGCAGGGCACCCAGCTGGCCAGTTAACGATTGACTGGGGATTGGTGGGGTATGGGGCATAAAAGGCATCGGTGGCAGTGCTGTGGCTACAAACTCAGACCGTCCGTCATGCCAGTGCTCGCTCTGTGCCTCCTGTGGGCCCTGGCAACTGTAGCCCGGCCTGCCTCAGTGGCCCCTGGGGGTGGCACAGAATTGGCACGCCATGAGGAGCTGACCCTGCTCTTCCATGGGACCCTGCAGCTAGGCCAGGCCCTCAATGGTGTATACAGGACCACGGAGACACGGCTGGCCAAGGCCAGGAGCAACCTGGGTCTCTATGGCCGCACAGTGGAACTCCTGGGACAGGAGATCAGCCAGGGCCGGGAGGCAGCCCAGGAACTTCGAGCAAGCCTGTTGGAGACTCAGGTGGGCACCGTAGCTGGGACACTGCGGGGCGGCCAGGAGTCCAAAGTGGAGTTTATGTCTAGGGTAACCAGTCATCCTGGTTTGCCCAGGACTGAGGGGATTCCTGGGATACAAGATTTTCAGTGATAAAATGAGGGAAGTCTTGGGTACACAAAGATGAGTTGGTCATCCTACTAGTGACCCACTGTTTATTATGCAGAAGGAGGAGGACATTCTGCAGCTGCATGCAGAGGCCACCGCTGAGGTGCTGGGGGAGGTGGCCCAGGCACAGAAGGTTCTACAAGACAGGGTGCGGCAACTAGAAGTCCAGCTGAGGAGCGCCTGGCTGGGGCATGCCTATGAGGAACTGGAGGCCTTAAAGGTAAGGGGCTCCCCCAGCCCTAGTGGGCTGAGACGCTGATTCCTGGCCAGAACTCGCTTCTGCACCTTGAGTCCCAAAGACCTCCCAGATCAGCCTCTCTCAGCTCTGTGGCCCCTACCCTGCATATCCCCGGACAAAACCCATGTCCTTTTGTGTGCCTCAGTTTCCCCATTTGCAAATAAGGGCAACACCTGATATCTCCCAGTACAGCCGGGCACTCAATGCAAGTAAAATATCCAGCATGGGGCGGGCACAGTTGGTGCTCAATAAATATATATTTTTTTTCATGGAGTCTCGCTCTGTTGCCCAGGCTGGAGTGCAGTGGCACAACCTCAGCTCACTGCAACCTCCGCCTCCCAGGTTCAAGCGATTCTCCTGCCTCAGTCTCCCAAGTAGCTGGAACTATAGGCACACACCACCACGACCAGCTAATTTTTTGTATTTTTAGTAGAGATGGGGTTTCACCCTGTTAGCCAGGATGGTCTTGATCTCTTGATCTCGTGATCTACCCGCCTCAGCCTCCCAAAGTGCTGGGTTTACCGGTGTGAGCCACCACGCCTGGCCAATTCCTTTTTTTTTTTTTTTTTTTTCCTGAGACGGAATCTCACTCTGTCACCCAGGCTGGAGTGCAGTGGTGCAATCTTGGCTCACTGCAACCTCCACCTCCTGGTTTCAAGTGATTCTCTTTCCTCAGCCTACCGAGTAGCTGGAATTACAGGCGTGCACCACCACACCCCACTAATTTTTGTTTTTTAGTAGAGACAGGATTTCACCATGTTGGCCAGGCTGGTTTCGAACTCCTGACCTCAAAGGATCTGCCTGCCTCAGCTTCCCAAAGTGTTAGGATTACAGGCGTAAGCCACTGTGCCCAGCCAATAAATTCTTACTACTGGAGAAACTGGTAATATTTCGTGAGTACCCAATAAGTACCCAACACTGTTCTATGCCCTTTAATAATCCATACGGTGTTTATCACCACCCCATGAAGTCCTATTTAATTCCCATTTTACAGATAGGGAAACTGAGGCCAAAGAGCACTGATGACTTGCTGGGTCACACATACAATAGGGGGGCCTGGGAAGGGGGCCAGGGGATGTGAAGTGAGGTGGCCGCCAGCTGAGGTTTGCATTCTGACCCCCACAGGCTCATGCCGACAAGCAGAGCCACATCCTGTGGGCCCTCGCAGGCCACATGCAGCGGCAGAGGCGGGAGATGGTGGCACAGCAGCACCGGCTGCGACAGATCCACGAGAGGTGAGCCTGGTGGGGGTTTGGCAGGAGGGGCAGCTGGATGGGGGGCACATAGGGTAGCTGGAAAGGGGCCCCCTCACCTGGGCTGAGCCACATCTCCCTCCCCAGACTCCACACAGCGGCACTCCCAGCCTGAACCTGCCTGGATGGAACTGAGGACCAGTCATGCTGCAATGGACACTGCCGTGCCCCATGAGGCCCCTCTGCAGGGAGGAGCTGCCTGTCCACTGCAATCAGCCAGGGCGCCGGGCCCCACTTCCGAGCAGAGCAGAGACGGACGTGGGCGGGGACAAAGGCGGAGGACGTAGTCCCATTGCGGACGGGTGGAGGAAGGATGTGTACCCTTTCATGCCTATACACCCCTCATTAAAGCAGAGTCGTGGCATCTCACTCGGTGTGTCTATGTGTGTCCTCAGCTTAGGGAGACCCCACCCAGCATGATGCAGAAATACCTCCCATTAAGTGCCCAGCTGGGCCCCAGAGGCTGTACCTGTAGCTGGTATGCGGGGAGTAGACTTCTCGGGCAGGGAACTCCAGGATCTCCTTGGTGGGCCGGCCCCTGGGGTCTGGGTAGGGCTTGATATGAAGCAGCTCAGGGGAGAGGCAGAAGTGGGGATTTTCAGGAGCTGGAGAAATGTCGATCTTGAGCTGGGCTGGGGAGGGAAGAACCAGTTTGCACCTGCCTGGGAGCCTCCTGGCCCAGCCCACCCTCTCTGGGCGGTGGAGTCAGGGCAGAGTCTCCCACAATGTTCTCTGGGGACTGGGGCTGTGTCCCTCAGATGCCAGGGACAGAAATTGCCCTCAACTCTGCTGTCTCTAGCCCTACATTTTTTTTTTTTTTTTTTGAGGCGGAGTCGCTCTCTGTTGCCCAGGCTGGAGTGCTCACTGCAACCTCTGCCAGCCTGGAGATCTTGGCTCACTGTAACCTCTGCCTCCCAGATTCAAGTGATTATCCTGCCTCAGCCTCCCAGGTAGCTGGGATTACAGGTGTGACCCACCACACCCAGCTAATTTTTATATTTTTAGTAAAGAAGGGGTTTCACCATGTTGGCCAGGCTGGTCTCAAACTCCTGACCTCAGGTGATCCATCCGCCTCGGCCTCCCAAAGTGCTGGGATTACAGGCATGAACCACTGCACCTGGCACCCAGGCTGGTCTTGAACTCCTGGGCTCAAATGATCTTCCTCCTGCCTCAGCCTCCCAAAGGGTTGGGGTTACAGGCTTGAGCCACTGCACCCGGCCTTACCCCTACATTTGATCAGCTCTGTTCCCAGGACCTCTGCCTGTCCCCTGCTATTAGCCCCCCACTGATGGGATATCCATCTTATTTATTCTGCTTCTTGTCTGTGGTCCCCATTAGCAGGTGCGGCCAGCCCCTGAGGTCAGGGATTTGTCTATCACGGTCATCGTTGGGTTTCTGGTGCCTGGCACAGTAGGTGCTGTCGGTGTAGGTTTGTTGAATGACTGAGAGTGTACACATCTTGTGTACGGACAGGGTGTGCCACGCACCAGTCACAGGACGCAGGCGCCGCAGCAGGGACGATGGGCGCCTCATGTCAGCCAGGAACTTGAAGAGGTCCTCATCGCTGAGTCGTTCAGCCTCCTACATGGGACCCGCTGCCATCAAACTGGGCCAGGGGGCTAGGGGTCCCCAGGGATGATGTGGCCAGTGGGGAATGGGGGAGTCCCTGGCCCCGGGGTAGGACACCTGCTTAAAGAAGTTTGTGACAGTTAGTGTGGCCGGACGGAAGCCAGAGAAGCTGCAGGCATCGTCTCCGCTGCTCGCCCGGTCCTGGGGTCCCCGACGGCGGCGGTCCGTCCAGGCTGGCCGGCGCTCTAGAGGAGTCAGTGCCAATGACAAACGGGGGACCGAGATGAAACTGGGAGACTCAGGGGCCGCACAGTTCGGCCAGCAGAGGGCGCACCTCCTGGCCCCGTAGCCCCGCCCCAGGCCCGTCAGCCCCACCCTTTAGCCCCGCCCCGAGCCCCGCCTCCTCACCGCCCTCCGAGTCCAAGTCCCGGTCCAGCTGCCCAGCGCTGCTCACGATGTTGGCCAAGTGCACGGCCGTCCAAGCGAAGGGCATGCGGTAGCGGCCCAGGCGGGTGCAGAACTGCTCGGCCGCCAGGCGCAGCTTCTCTAGCTTCTCTTTGTTCTATGGGGAGATCCCCGTCCCCTGCCAGCTCAGCATCCCAGGACTGCTGAGTCAGGGATCTGCACTGCCCCCAGTTCGGCCTCCACACGCTTACCTTGGCGGCGTCCACTTCTTTCATCACCATGTAAGGCTCGCAGCACTCACTGATGTCCCCTTGCTGAAGCACCTTCTCCAGCTGCGGGGCCGATGAATGATTCCAGCGAGGCACTCCCGAAACCCTCTGTCCCCTCCTCCCGGCTCCCCAGCCTCCTGGACCCCTCATGGGCCCTCAGACACTCCTATCATATGAAGGCCTTTGCTCCAACACCTCCCATGGCTCCCACTGTCCTTGGGATCAAGGGTTAGTGCTTGGCCTGCCTAGTGGCTACTCCCTCCCATTCTTCAGATCCACCGGCAAACTCCAAGCCCACCTTTAGCTGGTGATATTTTCCCTACATTTACTTATTTATTTACATTTATGTATGTATGTATTTATTATGCAGAGACAGAGGTCTTGCTATGTTGCACAGGCTGGTCTCAAACTCCTGGGCTCAAGTGATCCCCCTGCCTCTGCCTCCCAAAGTGCTGGGATTCAAGGCATGAACCATCATGCCCCAGGCTTGCCCTAATTTTTTTTTTTTTTTTTTTTTTTGAGACAGAGTCTCCCTCTGTCGCCCAGGATGAAGTACATGGTGGGATCTCAGCTTACTGCAACCTTCACTTCCTGGGTTCAAGCTATTCTCCTGCCTCCTAGGTAGCTGTGATTACAGACACAAGCCACCACGCCTGGCCAATTTCTCTGTTTTTAATAGAGACTGGGTTTCACCATGTTGGTCAGGTTGGTCTCTAACTCCTGGGCTAAAGAGATCCTCCCACCTCAGCCTCCCAAGGTGCTGGGATTCATGAGCCACCATGCCTGGCCTTCCCAATTTTTTTTTTTGTTAGTGTAAATAGAGGCCACTCTGGGCATGGCTCCGAGCCATGAGGCCTAGACTCCAATCCTGACAATTCATGGGCTGTGGGACCCTGGGCAGTGGGACCCTACCTACTCTATGCCTCAGTTTCCCTATCGGGAAAATGGGAGCCATGCACCCCTCCACCTTGGAGCCTGTGGTGAGGACTGAAGGGGGAGTTCCTATGAAGTGTGACGGTAGCAGCACCTGCCTGTGGATACTGAATTCATTTCATCATTGCTACCTAATTGAAGATTTTGAGAAAAGAAACTTGACCTCACTCCCAGAAACAGAAAATCTCAAATGAGGGTGCCAATTAGGTCTTTCATCTGTCCACAAACTTCCCAACTGTGTCTCACCTGCCTCCGAGGACCCCCAAGCTGTCGCGTGTGCCCAGGGATTGCTTTTCTCCCCAGGCTGCCCACTTATGGTTTTCAGCTCAACTGTTGCCTCTCCCTGGAAGCCCTCGGTGATTTCTCCACACCTGAGTTGGGTCAGGGGCCTCCTCCCTGCCTGTGCTTCTCCCACAACAGCCCTGATTACCTTTCTTGGTGATGTATCTGTCTCACTCTGGGAAGCCAGGGACTGAACCAGTGACATTCACCATTACCACCCCCTTGCCCAGCCCCAGCAGGCACCTTGATGACCAGGAAGATGTCAGACGAGGGGTAGGTCACTGAGAAGATGGCGGAGCGGGCCAGGGTGGAGATGGCAGGGTGGGTGCCATGAGCCCGAAGCAGCCCTTTCATGGAGTCCGAGTTCAGGTCGAAGTAGAAGTTCTCTGAGATCTAGGGACACCAGAGGCAGCTGGGCCACCACCTCTAGGAAGCCCACAGCCCCCCAACAAGGAGGAGGAAGGGGAGAAAAGAGAAAAAAGGGGCTCCTACCTTCTTTTTCTCCCGCACGTCATACAGAGCCAAGATCCCAAAGATGGGCTCAATTTCAATCTCGAACCTGGAAGCAAATGGGAGGGAGGGGGCTCTCCTTGACACCCCCTGCCATCCATACACCCCACTCCCTCTTGAGACCCAACGTGGGGGGCACTGACTCCCACTGGGCCACACGGAACTGCCACTTAAGGGCTTACAGAAAAGGTACCTCTCATTTTGCAAAGGGGAAACTGAGGCACTGAAGCTACTGAATAGAGCTATCCCCTCTATTCAGCCAGCTCCTCTTCCTCATCGGGTCTCTGTGTATACATCCCCCTCCGAGGGAAGCTGTCCCAGATACCCCCTTCCACCCCTCAGGCTGGTTCAGGAGCCTCCTCCAGGACTCTAGGCACTTGGAGCATGTCTTATCCCGGCTCTGTGTGGTCACCACATGGTTATGTGTCCTGTATACAGCAGGGACTTGATAAGTGTTTTTTTTTTTAATTTTCATTTTTTGAGGCTGGAGTGCAATGGCACGATTTTGGCTCACTGCAACCTCTGCCTCCCTGGTCAAGCGATTCTCCTGCCTCAGCCTCCTGAGTAGCTGAGATTACAGGTGCCTGCTCCTCGCCTGGCTAATTTTTGTTTTTTAAGTAGAGACAGGGTTTCGCCATGTTGGCCAGGCTGTTCTTGCACCCCTAACCTCAGGTGATCTGCTCACCTCGGCTTCCCAAAGTGTTAGGATTACAGCCGTGAGCCACCACACCAGGCCAATAAGTGTTTGTTGAATGACTGGATGAGCCCACAGAGCCAGTTCCCAATCCTTGTGTTTAGGGCAAGAGGCCCACCCAGGCCTCAGGCCAGAATGGAGCCTCCCTTTCCTGCCCCGATCCAGGCAGGAACTCGGGGTGGGGAGAGGCAGGGCCAGGCTCAGGTCCAAGTCCACATCCTGTTCAGCTCTGTTCCCACGCACTTCTGCTGCTCCCCAGGGGGCTGGTGTGGAGGGGGCCCTGGGCAGCTGACAGTCAGGCCCAGGGTCACTAGCACCCGCCCCAAAACCTCCCCACCAAACCCCGGATCCCAGCAGCAGAGTAGGCAAGCGCCAGACTCCAGCCTCACAAGTCATATGATCTTGGCATGATAATGTTACCACTCTGTGCCTCAGTTTCCCCACCTGTGCCCACTTCATGAGGTTGTGATGAAGATTAGATGGGTTCACATACATGAGAGGCTGAGAGCTGATCCTGGCATACAATTGTCATTTAAGGATTGGCAACTTGGGATAACGAAAAAGGAAGTCTTACTTTCCCTATAAATGGCTAAATACAAACACAGAAGTATACACTGGGTACCAAGCAAATGTTGGTTGGATAAATATAGGCATATGTGGTGGCCATAAGTGGCCTCGTAGGTGACAGGACCGCACATGGTAATGGC